TGGGCACGGGCACCAGACTGGTTAGCTCTCGGGTTTCCTACCCAGGCTCTGGTGACCCCCAGCATCTGCAGCCCTTTGCTCCACCAACAAGAACATGAGAAAGGCTGCAACCAAGAGAAGGGCTTTCAGCCCATCTAGTCAGTTTGGTCACCTGAGGTCTTGATCTAGTCAAACTCCTGATCGCACTCGTAACTGACTTGTCTGACACTTCTGAATTAATTTTTGGTCTGCAGCTATTAGGAGATTTTAAAAGTGCAAATAAATGTTTGTAACTTGAAAATGCAATTTTAGGAGCAGAAAACAATTTTAACAATGGAGGCTTCAGCTAAGCAACTGGAAATGCAGCTGGAATGAAGGCCAGCAGACAGGAGGATATCCAGGATCAGGACTGGTTTTGTCTGTCAGCTGAAACTGTACAGACCTGGCAGGGAGCTTCAGCACGATGCAGAACTTTCTACGGCATTGAAGAGATTAAACGCCAACTTTTCTCTGTATTCATGTGCTCTATTAATAGATATCTTTGAGAATATTCAAGATGATTCTTTTCGTCTGAAATCTATAAACCTCCTTATCAGTAATTAAGTAAAAAATAACTAAGGCAGCATTAAGGGAAAGGTTTCGGTGTCCAGTTTTGTATATAAAAGCAAGCAGATTATGAAAAATTCTCTGTTAAGGTATTAAAGGAGATTATGAAAAGTGAGGCAAAGGTACTCTGTCAAGGTATTAAAGCTGTACCAGGGGGTAATCTTGCTATCCTTATCTTTGACTGCTTTAAATAGATGCATGAAGAGAGACTTAAGTCTTTAATACAACTTTCTATGTACTGAGCCTAAACTTATTCACAGTCACTCTTAGTGTGCTGACTCTTTCTTCACTTGAAATACAATCGCCACAAGCAAGGTTGTTGACACGGTCTGTGCCATAACACAGGAACGTGAGTAAATCTTTTTAAAAGATATTCTCCATTGGCCTGCGTTAGTATTCTCCTGGCAGTGCTGCATGATGTAACTGGACTTTTTTTTTTTTTCCATTTTGGGCTTCACTGTGTAAGCTGAAGCTTTTCCAGCATCCCAAATTTGCGTTTTTTGTTCTCAAAAACCAAACAATTGCTGTTGCTGTCCCAGTGACCTCTTCAATGACTTTTAAATACTGTAAAAGTGGAAAAAAAAACTAAACATTCATGTCCCAGTATTGTTTCATGTTGCCTCAAAAGAAGAACATGGATTCCGATCTCTTGAATAATAAAAGTTTACTCAAAACCCCCAAGACCCAGGCAGTTTCCAGTGCTGTGGTCACTGGTCTAGAAATGGCTGATGAAGCTACGCTTTTATGTTTCTTGCAAAGAGTGTTAATGAGGAGGAGGAGCAGCAGAATACGTCTTCTGTTCTGTTGCCCCTGTGTAGAGGAGACTGCAGGGCAGGGGGTGGTTGGTGCTGCTGTCTCTTCCGAGGAGATCGTTCTCCCTCTCCTTCTCCGGCGCTCTTCCTCTCTCCCTCCTCTGTCTGTCTTCCTCTCTCCCTCCTGGCCTGCGCCCACAGTGTCGGCTTTCTCTCCCCCTCGCAGACGTTCCAGCCCCCGAGCAGCCGGAGCTGTTCTTGAAGAAGCTGCAGCAGTGCTGCACGATCTTTGACTTTATGGACACGCTGTCAGACCTCAAGATGAAAGAGTACAAGAGATCCACGCTGAACGAGCTGGTGGACTACGTCACGGTCAGCAGGGGCTATCTCACGGAGCAGGCGTACCCCGAGGTTGTAAAAATGGTGAGTGAAGCACAGTTTGGGAAGAGCCCATATACCCGCGCTGGAATAAAGCCCCTCCAGCGCCTCAGAGCAGCCTCACCACAGCGCAGTGTAGCCCCACCCCACGCGGGTGATTCAGATCAGCTTCCCCACAAGAGGAGCATGCTGGTGTGGTTAGCAGCCCTGATACTGACACTGGGGAACGCAGAAACACATACAGGTGCATAACTGTGTTCTGCAAAGCAGAAGATGCTGCTTTTTTTTATCTGGAAAAATGACTCGGGCAATAGTGGTGGTGTGCACATGTCTCCTGAAGGCTTTTTTTTAAATGGCGAGGTGGATAAGCCGTCTTTATTTTTAGTAGGCATTCTAATTTTAAGTATTACCGCAAAAAAAAAAATGACGTGTTGTTGCACGGCTCCCTTTGTCAATGAAGCAAATGTGCTGTAAGCTGGTAATTAAAGATTCCGAATACTCGGCGGAAGACTCGGGCTGCGTTTCCTCTGAGTGTAGGTGGTGTGACTAAATATACCCGAGTGAGCCTCGCCGGCCTCGCTCGCGAACACGCAGACCAGCAGCACAAAGAACTGGTGTCACGACGAGCGGAAGCTCAGCTGGCTCGGTGAAAAAAGACGGGCGTTAAGCGACGATTTCAACACCGTAGAGAGTGAGCGGGAGTGGGCCCGGGTGCGAGGTGTGTGAGGCAGAGGGAGTTGGAGCCAGGGTCAATGCACAGCATTCACAGGAAGGTGTTGGCGTGCACTTCCGCTGAAGCCATACCTGTCTTGAGAGGCCAGCTGGTGCCTAGGGGAGCCCACGGGGATTGAGGCAGGGCTGTCCAGCGAACTTCTTCATGATTTCTTCAGTAAGCTGTGTTTTGGATTTTTAACTCTCTAACAGATGGTGATTACAACTTTTTTTTCCCCCCCTGTAGGATACTGCATGAAAGAACCCTCTAATAACCCCAGTCTGAACATAAAATCTGTTTAACTCTATTTAAAATAATGCTGTTTAGAAAGTATTGAAAAGAAAACTGCAGGTCACCGTGGTTACCAGCGGAGATCAACAGATCACAGCATATAAGACTGTGGATAGAAATGTTCCCTTTTTTTACTGGGGGTCCTCTATGCTGTTGCTGAGCAGATCTAGATGTGAGCAGATCGCCCGAAAAGGCCCGATTTAAACAATACTGCAGGCTTGGTTCATTGTGCACCGTTTCCAGAACATTGCTGCCTGGAAGACAGTGCTAGTGCTAATAGTGCTAATAACGGCATTAGTTAAGGGAGTGAAAATGTGGATGGGGTGAATGTACAGCGGCCTGGGAGTTGGATACACTGCCAATTCTGGAGATTCGGCCAGGCCCTGCTCATGGCTCATGCTAGGACAACAGTAATCACAGTAATAATAACAAGTTACCATGCACTGAAAGAGCTTTATAGTTAGTGGGGATTTCCCTCCATGCACCTGGATGATGTGATGGCAGCCAGAGCGCGCCAGTATGCTCACCACACAGCAGTGGGGAGGAGAACAGAGTAATAAAGCCAGTTCATGGACAGGGATTAGGAGGGCATTGTTGCTAAAGGCTTGAGAGGCTTCTAGGGACAACCGTCCTCCAGCTGGAGCTTGGGGATTATCTCTGTGGACAGGTGGGAGACAGTGGGCTGTTCCTCTTCTGGCCGATGAGGCCAGCAGTCCCATACCGGCTATGCTATGCTGATATTTTACTATGTTGGAGTCTCCATGAAAATGATTTTTTCTGGCTTTCTGTAATTGCATACAAAGATTAAAAACAGTTGTTTGTTTTTTTTCCATCTCCACCTTTTTTGAAGCAACTTCCTTGATGATGTTCTTACAAACTGCTGCTTTTTTTTTTTGTTCTCCTTCCTGCTCCAGGTCTCTTGTAATATATTCAGGACCCTCCCTCCCAGCGACAGTAATGAATTTGATCCAGAAGAGGATGAACCAACACTTGAAGCCTCCTGGCCACACTTACAGGTACTGCTGGGAGTCGTCACGCCACGTGCAACACGGACACCGGCAGGGATTGTGCTAGGGGAAACACTGTGCAAGAGCCCTGAGCCCAAAGTTCCTCCCTTCCTTTTTTGGCATTGTTTCCTGGTAGCCCCTTGACTGTTTGAGTTTGTAACCATTTTTATTTCCGTTCGCTAACACTGGTGTGGTTTGGTTGTAATCAGGTTCCTGTTTGTTTTAGCTTTTTTAGTTGTTTTTTTTTGATTCTGGGACGGTCTGGGTGTGGGCGTCCTCTCACACCTGTTTGTGTACTTACTGCTATTTTCCAGGACTCCTTTAGAAATGAGATGAATATCTCAAGGAGAATCTTCCTGGTAAAACTACTTTTTGATTTTATTTTTGTAAAAAAAAAAAAAATTCATTCAGTCAATAAAATTTGAAATTAACCCCACAATCACCTTTCCTGAAGCATTACTAACACTGCTGGCTATGGTAGAGGCCTCAGACTAATGTAGAGACAAGATTTGAGCCCCAACACTGTAGCGCCTAATATCTGTCTGTTCAGTGCTGTGATTGAGTGCCTCTCACTTACCCTGCAGACTCGCCTGATCTCTGCCAGCGAGGACAGAGTCTTTACTGACTGTCACCTCTCTATCCTTGCAGCTTGTATACGAGTTTTTCATAAGATTTTTGGAGAGTCAAGAATTCCAGCCCAGTATTGCCAAAAAATACATAGACCAGAAATTTGTATTACAGGTAAGCAATGTGTGCCTTTTTTTGTTCAAAGTCACTGGGGGCTTCAGCCTCGTGAAATAAATATGCAGTCTTGCAGTCTGACAGTCTTGCAGAAGGCTGATCACAGGTGTGAAAGTGTTTTGGGGAGGTCATGGCATGGCTCTTCAGGGGCATTAGGTATAAACCGATTTAATTAAAGAGGGTCCTGATGTCCCCACACTCCTGGGACAGGGGGCCCCAGTTTTGTATCTGTCTCCCTGAGGTGACTGTCGATACCTCTTCCCCTTGTCCAGCTTCTGGAGCTGTTTGACAGCGAAGACCCCAGGGAGAGAGACTACCTGAAGACAGTCTTACACAGAATTTACGGAAAGTTTCTCGGTCTGCGGGCTTTTATACGAAAACAGATTAATAATATTTTTCTACGGTAAGCATCTCTCTCTTTTTTTTTTTGGAAAGGTGAGATTATTGCCGTTTTTCTGTTGTGTCTTTGAAAAAAGCCCGGGAGCCGGTTGGTCTGACAAACTGTGCTTTTCTCCTGTGCCGTGTAGTTTTGTCTATGAAACCGAGCACTTCAACGGGGTAGCAGAGCTGCTGGAGATTTTGGGAAGGTACGTCGCCGTGGGCTGTGCGTGTGTCAGCATGTTCTGAAAACGCGTGGAGGGAAATTGCACCATAGATGCGCTCACAAACCGAGATGCGCATGATGGCAAGAAAACGTTTGCTCTTCAGCCTGCGGTATTTGGCAGCGAAGTGGACATTTATGTCAAACTTCATGAGACGCAAACTTTGTGTTCTTCATATTGCTTGCCTCGCTACTCATTTTGAAATGGCACATGAATGTGCAATGGGAGTTAAGAAATCAAGTACCTCTCTGTTGTAATTAAGTTTATACATCCATATCCTTATATTCTGGGAATTGCTGGTGTGCTGGGAATTTTATACTGTCATTATTACAGCCATATGAATCATTTTTAAATTAATTTAATTGTATTGTGTGGGGAGTTTTAAGGATACCAGAGGGAAGATTTTTTAAATTATCATTAGCCTGTAAGTAACTCTTTAACAGATCACTTAAACATTATGCAGGTTTCGTTGGAAATATGTCACGGCAAGGCAATATTTAATTACTGCAAAGTCTAATGATTTTTGCTTGAAACTAATTATAATTTTTTAATACAAAAAATGCATTAAATTCGGATCATGTCTGATGGAACTATGAATATAAAAGGTTGGAATAGGTCTCAGTGACTTAGAACAAACACATTTGATACCTCTTTTGAAGGATAAATGTGAAATATTCGACATAGTCATTGCCTGCAACATCAGGTCAGAACAATCAATGTGACCTCTTCACTTCTCTCAATAAGTCAAACGTTTTAGTTCACTCCGCACACGCCCTGCATCATCATTTCTTGACATTTTCTTATGTTTATTTTGTTCTTGTTTTTGTCCTCACAGCATAATCAATGGCTTTGCTCTTCCTCTGAAGGCAGAGCACAAACAGTTCCTGGTGAAAGTGTTGATTCCTTTGCACACTGTCAGAAGCTTGTCTCTGTTCCATGCACAGGTACACCTCTAAACACTTTTATCACACAAGTGAAGAACCAGCTCTGCTAACTGCTGTTCAGATGTAGCCTGAGGCTCCCTGAAAATGCCTTTTGCCATGTTAGAACAATTGGTTACTAGCAGCATTTTATAATAATGCATAGGATTTATTTATATAGATTAACCATTTAATTGTTTTAAAAAGTTAAGCCATTTTTATTTGAAAAGTTAATTAACAGGTTAAAGAAATTGCGCATTCACCATTGCCTGCAAATTGACATGTGAAAATGATTTTGTACGTTATCTCATACAACATAAGTTATATGTTGATCTTGACTTGTTTTTGTTTTCCCAGTTGGCGTATTGTATTGTACAGTTTCTAGAGAAAGACCCAACACTAACAGAACCAGTAAGTGATTTCAATACATTATTTCAAATAATCCTTTTTAAAAGTCAAATGATGACCTCTGTCTTCTCGATTTCATTGTGACAAACACCTACTCTTGTTTTTCTCTTTAGGTTATCAGAGGATTGTTAAAATTCTGGCCAAAAACATGCAGTCAGAAAGAGGTAGTGTTTTTTTTTTACCCATTTGTTCAACTTGTTTTGTAGGTTACCATGTGCAAAAAGAAAAATGCATTAGAGTAGGTTTTCACCCATCAAGAGGAATTTAATAAGTGCAATAGTTTCTTGAATTTGTGCTAATCTGAATCCCAGTTCACTCAGACTGGGAGAACGTGTGACGGGATCAGCTGGGTCTCTGGGGGCTGTTGCATTGGTGTCTGTATTGTGCTCTGCAAGGCTGACAGGTTTCATGGCTCTTCGGTAAGAAGGGAGCACAGTTGGGTGAATCATCTGGGCTGAGCAAACACATGGATGTAACGTTAATAGGGAGCAAGGGTGCACTGAAGAGAGCACCCAGTAATAACCTGACAGAGGGGCCTGGTAGCTGGTAGCAAGTCTTTGCTTCAGCCTCAACGTGACAGTTGGCCTGGTTGTGACATCCCTCTGTCGTCACCTGGACTCTGCCCGTGTTTCTGCAGGTAATGTTCCTTGGGGAGCTGGAGGAGATCCTGGATGTGATCGAGCCCACGCAGTTTGTGAAAATCCAGGAGCCTCTCTTCAAACAGATCTCCAAGTGCGTCTCCAGCCCACACTTCCAGGTCAGCGCCCTCCTCGCTGCTGTTTGCTCTCGCACGGCTTCCTGGCAGCAGCCACAGGTCTTCTGAGTTTGCTCCTCAGCATTGTGGAGATTGCACTGATGCTCCAGCCCGTGTTTTTGACTATCCCTGAGCACCAGCGTCACGTTCTGCATGTCCTCTGAGAGCTTTGCCAGTGTCGGTCTTCACAAGAGTGTGCTGTGTCAGTAAAATCAGGGTTAGGAAATAGTGAGTGTGTGAAGATGCCATTGTGATCTGCCTTGTGCAACTCAGCGGCTTTGCTCTCGTGTGCCAGGTGGCAGAGCGGGCACTGTATTACTGGAACAATGAGTACATCATGAGCCTGATCGAGGAGAACTCCAGTGTCATCCTGCCCATTATGTTCACCAGCCTCTACAGGATCTCCAAAGAGCACTGGAATCCGTGAGTACCAGCAGCCAGGGGCACAGTGCCTTTCGGCACTATTCAGCACAGGGCGCCGATTGAAATGCTGAATGATACAGCGTTACGAAATGTGTAGTCAAAAAATGATCCTTTGGTGCCGGCAATGATTTTAGCCTCAAGCTAAGCTAATATTACCAGTGATAATCTTTATTTCTATATTAAAAACATATTTTCACATTCGTCGTACATCCCACAAATACCCAGCATGTAAGTTAAAGGCACAGAAAGCACTGTGATAAATGCATCTGGTCTTTTGCTGACAGTGTAATGAAGCTTCACATTTCCTTTGTAGTGCGGTCAGGATCGCTTTCAGTTTCAGGTTCAGAGAATGAGCGGCCAGACCACTTAAAAAAGTACATGCACTGGCACTGAGCTCTCTTCACTTCTTGGAATTGTTTGATAGGTCTGTCTCACGAGCAGTCCCCCCATTATTAGGCAAGAGTTGTCATCTGAAAGTCGTTTTTTTATCATTTGGACCTTTTTTATGATGTTTTTTTTTTCCCTTTTTTCCCAGGGCAATAGTAGCTTTAGTCTACAATGTTCTCAAAGCATTTATGGAAATGAACAGTTCTCTGTTTGATGAACTCACAGCCACTTACAAGTCTGATCGCCAGCGGTAAGACGTCACAAACACATACTGCCTTGTGTTCCTCTGCTTTTATACTTGCACAGACCATTTTGAAACTGGTACTGTGATCTGGATGGGACAAAGATTCCTTTTATTTCAGTTCAGTCCCAGGGCAGCCTATCTGGGTGAGCTGGGAGTACAGAGATACCTTGGGATTTAGGATAGGAGCCCCACTGAGCCCGGGGGCAAGTTTGGGAGGTGCCACCTGCTATAAAGATTGTAGTAATGAACTAAGAGGTGGGGAGGGGAAGCATATCAACTCCCAGTTCTCTGTATAGACAAGTGTACTTGTATCCAAGAGCCCGGAGCTGTTAGAATCTGAAATGCTCAGCACAGACTTGAACTGCTGTGCAGTGAGAAAGCTCGATTTCAAACCCTGTAGTGGAAGTGATAGTGGAAGGGGGCGTATTTGTGTGAACATTGCTGATATTAAATGACCAATCACAGCGCCTTTGCCCTCACGTGAACACTTAACACGGGGTGATGGGGAGTGCTGGTTTCTGTATATTTGTGCTTTTTGAAATATCCAGCCTAGAATTGGCTCAGTTTGGCCAGCACACTGGGGCGTAGTGATTAAAGACTTGTTTTCTTGTCCCCAGCGAGAAGAAGAAGGAAAAGGAAAGAGAGGAGCTGTGGAAAAAGCTGGAAGACCTGGAGTTAAAGAGGGGTCTCAGGAGCGATGGGATAATCCCTACTTAACACAGGCAGCCCACTGCACTCTTAGCCTAACCGGATACCCATTTATGTAGTATGAGATGGAGCAACAGTTCTTTCTGTATTGTGCAACTTACTTTACGGTAGATTCACACGTCTGTTTCATTATTTCAACAGCACTGTAAATAACTTTCTTTCCCTTAAATATTACGCCGGAAGAAAAAAAAAAAACGCAAAAAGGAAAAAAGAAAAAAAGACAGACTGTGGATAGTAGAACTTTAAAAGAAAAAAGCGCCGAGAAAAGGAATATGAAACCCGAGCAGTTCTGTAAAGATAGGAAATTGTTTTAACCCCGCCACCACCATCCGCCCCGCCCTTGTCCATCAGCACGTGCTTGATCTGTACCTCCTTCGGGTGCTGTTTCCTCAGCGATGCAGGGTGGGTAGCAGCTTTGGGGAGCCCCGAGTGGGGAAAAGGAGGCGTTTTCCTGGGCGCCAGACAAGAGCGGACACCCCGTTCCCTCAGGACCATAACGACCTGCCCTTTATCGCCCCCCTGCAAAACTGCTGCCACGAGAGAGCTGCCCTACTCAGATTTTGAAGAATCTATATATATTACCAGTGTAATTTTAAAAGTTCATGTGTAGATCTAAAAAAAATTGAAAAATGAAATCACTGCACTCGTACGGTTTTTATTTGTTCTTTCTGGAAACGAGTGAAGATGTCCATGTGCAACAGCCCAAAGCATCTGAACTGGTCTCTCAAAGGTTTGGCTCCCTGTTACAAGCAGTACCTGCTGGTATCAGTCTGGTATTGGTACCATTCTCAGTTACCTGTAAAGATTACCATTTAAACAACAGGCGGTAGAAGTTCCCAGGTCAACAACGTACAGTAAGTAACTTGTGAAACTCCTGTATTGTGAAAAGGAACACTACTTGTGTCAGTTCTTCACAGTATTAAGAATCTGTATAACATTGTTATTGAATGCAGTACATCGATATCTTGTATCTTGTAGTTATTAGCTTCTATTTTCTTAGGAACAGAAGGAGTATCCAATACATAAAAGTGGTATAATGGAACAAGACTTCCTGGTATTTCTGATGCTGTTTTGTTTTTTTTTAACGTTCCTGTGAACATGGGAGATATATTTTTTTGCCGGGGGTGGGTGGGTGAGGGTGGGGCTGTCTCAACTTCTTGCTCTGATGCATTAATATAATATCTGCATTGACCCTTTGAGAATTCATGTGTGCTTTAGGATGGCCCACGTGTGATGATACACACCGAAAAATGTCTAATTATTTTAAAAAATAAAGAAATATTAAATTAAACCTTTTTTTGTGATAAAGCGAAGATCCGGGATTGTTTTATTTTAGTTCTTTCGGATTGTGGGCAGCAAGCCTGACCAATGAATTTGTGAATTTGTTATATTTTGAGGGAACATTCAGTGGCTGTTAGAAATGTTTACAGAATTCTTATGCACTGTTCTTAAATTTCACACTTTGCAAGAACCTTCTTCCCTCTGTGGAGAAAGAGGTGTTTTTACTGTATGCATAGCTGCATTTGGGTGTTAAAACAGATGGGCATCAACAATGTTTGCTAGCAGTTCAAGTCCACCGTAGGTTGAGCTGAAGATGTCATAGGGAACAAATTGGGACCCAGTGGATTAATTGCATACAAAAGCTCTCTTTGCAATGACATTTTTGAATGCAATGGCGTTAGTCTAGAGAGAGAAAACATTTTGGCCCTTAATTAATAGGTGCTGTGTTCCACTGCGGTGCACATCAGTGCCAATCTCCATGTGTCTTCATTCAGAGGAAGTCCATGCAGCATTGTAGCCTAGTGGCCAGGGCACAACCAGAGGGTTGTGGGTGTAAATCCCAGGTGAGACATTTCTGCTCGTTCAGTTGTAGGTGTCAAAATAGGAAAATTTGTTCTCAATTAACATATCTGGTGAAATAAAAGTTGTAGAAATCATTTCTAAGTGTGAGAGCCAGTTACCATATTACAGTCCTTCACTGTGATGGGAGGGAAGACTCCTTTATTACAATGTAATTTCAGTATATTTACACATTTCTAACAAAGCTTCCTGTTTTGTAATGATGGGTTATCTTGGGTCATAGTCTCACGTTCTATATCCCTTTTGCAATGATTTGTAAATATCTGTGACATGCTCTATGATATTTTATGTCTAATACATCCCTTACCTTAATGTTTTTTTTTCCAAAACATTTTTTTTCTTTTGGTTGAGTAGTGTGTAAATACTTCAAAGAATGTCCAGACAGTTTTTCTTTGTTGCTTTTTCAGCTTATGTTTCAACTTATGTTTAGTTCCAGTGATGAGGATTTAAAAAAAAAAATATTTCAAAAGACCTAAGTAAAGATGCTGCATATGGAGATCTTTGATCATCTTTTTATTTATTTGGTTTCTTGGTGTAGTTGTATCCAAATTATTTTGTTTGGTTCATGTTTTCAGGGTGGCAGTGGTGCGTGGGGCTGTGTGGGGACAGCGCGCTGTCACAAGGCTCTGATTCAGGGGGAGGCATTTGTTTCAACGCGGTTTCAGCCCATGGGGGGTGTTGACCAATCAGAGCTGCACCTCTTTGATGATGTGCAGGAGGGGTTGGTGACATCAGGACCAGGAACTCCGAATATGGGCGTCGGCAGCAGGCGAGGGGGTGGAGCTCGGCAACCTCCTGGGGAAATGGAAATTTAAGGCATTGAGCTTGGACTGAATGTAATCTCTTAAAATGATTTAAAGGGTTGGAAAGAGACTATGTAAATCTGATCTACTTTTGAAAGAAAGTCTATAAAAGTATTCATTTTAAAACCCTTTGTGTTTGACAACCAACTTGTTCATAATAAAAAAAAGACCAAAACCGTTTTCTTCAATGTTATTACCTTTATCAGTCGGTCTCCGCTGTGAAATGTGTAGCAGAGGTGCTGGGAGTTTTCCTAGGAGGGCTCTCATGCCGTGGTGGAAACGCGGTGCTGAGGAGGGCAGCAGGCGAGGCCTTGAAGCAGCCCTAGGAACTGTGGCCCAACACGACAGAATTAACCAAAACTCCCAGATGTGTGGCAATTGTTTTGACAACGTCTCTTGGCATTTGTAAAATATAAAAATTGACCAAATCCTTTGGGATCCGACACTAGACTCCGGATCGCCACGGGTCGCCTACTCGGCTGTTCCAGTTCCTCCCGGGGAGCCCTGGGTATCCAGCTGCCTCCCCTCTCAGTGTGACCAGAGCAGGCCCGGTGTTGCGTGGATCTGCCCTGCTGCCTTCCTCGCACCGCGGGGCACTGCCGGCGCTCAGCTCCAGCCCGTGGCTGCAGGCAAAAGGCTTGGTCCTGTTCCCTGCAGGCCTGGGCCCAGGTCCCTCTCCGGTCTGCGTGCTGCGCCACAGCTGTGCCGGCGAGCTCTTCGGAGCACCGGACCTCCTGCCCCTTCCGGAATAAAGACCGTCTGAGGAGGGGTTGACACACAAGGGATTTATTTTGTTCAGCAGCCGTATCATGCTGGCAGCCCCCTGGAGCTCTGCAGGTGTGAGGCTGGTCAGTACCTGGATGGGAGACCTCCTGGGAAAGCTAAGGTTGCTGCTGGAAGAGGTGTTAGTGGGGCCAGCAGGGGGTGCTCACCCTGCAGTCTGTGGGTCCTAATGCCCCAGTATAGTGATGGGGACAGTATACTGTAAAAAGGAGCCATCCTTTGGCTGCGGTGTAAAACCAAGGTCCTGACTCTGGTCAATAAAAATCCCAGCGAGTTTCTCGAAAAGAGTAGGGGTGTTACCCTGGACTCCTGGCTCAAATGCTCTCTGGCCTTTACCTATCATGGCCTCCAAATAATCCCCCTCTATGAATTGGCTTCATCACTCTGCTCTCCTCCCCACTGAGAGCTGGTGTGTGGTGAGCGTTCTGGTGCATTATGGGTTACCGTCGCATCATCCAGGTGGGGCTACACATTGGTGGTGGTGGAGGGGAGTCCCCATTACCTGTAAAGCGCTTTGAGTGGAGTGTCCAGAAAAGCACAAAATAAGTGTAAGGAATTATTGTTTTGGCTTTTATGAGCAGCAGAAAAAGAGCTCATGCACGACATGGAGAAGAAAGCCCAGTCTTAAGTGTGCTTTTTCTATTGCATGGAAGAAAAAAAAACTTTTATTCGAATATTGTTGCGTCCAGTGGAGCAGTGTTTTTTTTTTCTTTTACAAAAGTCATTTTTGTAAAGCTCAGTGCAGCCACTTGAGGGCAGTGTATACAAAGCTATGGCTCCTGCAGGTGGTCTGTAGTGAAAACATGGGTTAGCAAGGTTTTGTTTTTCCTTTTTGGTGGAACACCCTTTCACTGCAGTTGTTTCTAAAAATCTAATTGGGATATTTTATTCATAGGGCTTCGCTAGAAATAGTCATTGAAATTGTATTACTTGACAGCACTGTGTGCATGGGGTAATATACAGTATGTTATTCAGAGTTATGTATAATACACAGATATATTGTGCATTACAGCCCATGGAATTGATTTAAATTTTCACATCTTTGCACGAAAAGGATGGATTACAGCTGTTGCACTGTGGTATTCTCCGAGTTGTCTGCCAACCGTCCTGTTCAGCAGAACCAATTCACACCCAGTTCTCTCACCTTTGATGACAAACGTTTAATGGCATACACTAATCAAATGCATTCCATTAAGAGGTTTTTCTTGGAACAATCGAGCCAAATTTCAGGGAAACTGCTCCAAAATTACAATCACATTTTAAGCACGAGAAAATGTATTCCGTTATAGCGTAATTAAGCTCATCGGACAAACGCATCCCTTCTCTCTGCTTTTCTGCATGGAATTAGCCTTTGCTTGTTTAATTGAAGCTCCCCACTCGAACTTCCACAGTATTTTATTTTGGGAATTGCTTCCCTTTATTTTAATTGAATTATACTAATAAAGACACTGGTTAAAGAAAACGGAATGCATTTTCCTAGATTGCATCATGAAACTTTTTTTAGTCACCTGTAGAGGATTGGACATGTGTGTGTATATGATGTGTCCATTTCCTGGTGTAAAATTGACATTCTGAAAGGGAGTGAGCTACTTTTGAACTGCATTTCCAGGTGCAGCTATTCTGACTTTATGAAGTTGTAGGCCAGGATCTCGCACATTCCCATCCAGCATTGAGCAGTACATCAAAACACTCCAAGCTGCTATTGTCCTTTATATTAAAGGACACTGTTTTCTGCTAAGCTCCTGTATCCTGTCAGTGGTAGTTTAAGTCATTGTGGGATGACATACAACAAGGGAACTCGCTTTACAAAATTTAATCCTGTAAGAATTACTGGGATTTCATCATTTCAAAAGAGCATCTACCTGTCTTAACTGCCAGGGAAACTGTGCTCTCATTACCCTGTTCGGTTCTCCCTTTTGGAAGAAGTTATTTGAATGAAAGGCATTCCTGAAAGGAAGCTTAAAGCAAAGTTGTTCCACCACTGGTGTTTCTTTTTTGAGACAAAATGATCAAACTTTTCCCAACGGAAATTCCTAAAATAGATCTTTTGAGTCTGTTCTTCTTAAAATAACCACTTTCGTAGTCGAAGTTTTAAGTGATTGTACTTTCTGTGGTATACAGAAATGGATAAGTGGATAAGGCCAGCAGCCATATCACCCTGCAACTCACAACTGGCAACCCCACTGAAGCTCAGCAGGTGTGAGCCTGGTCAGTACCTGGATGGGAGACCTCCTGGGAAAAACTGAGGTTGCTCCTAGAAGAGGTGTTAGTAGGGCCAGTAGGGGGTGCTCACCCTGCGGTCCATGTGGGTCCTAATGCCCCAGTATAGTGACGGGGACACTATACTGTAAAAACAGGCGCCGTCCTTTGGATGAGATGTAAAACTGAGGTCCTGACTCTCTGTGGTCATTAAAAACCCCAGGGCGTTTCTCGAAAA